CATCTTCCCTTCGAAACAAATCAATTTTGGAGACGAAAAAACGGCAGGAATTAAGTTCAACACCTAATATTACAATTCCTAATACCTACAATATTGCAGAGATGTTACAGCGCAATCTGCAATATTGCAACATTTCTGCAATGTTACTACAAATTTCTGTGCTGTAAGGGTATATTAAATGATTGAAAATCTCCAGAGAATATCTGAATAGGGAAAATTTATTGAGCGTAGTTATGAAATAATCATTGTAAGAGTATCTATAGAAATGACTAGAGAAAAAAAAGATAAAAAAACAGTTTTTTTTTAGGAATTTAAAGGTGTTCTCATGGATACAAAATTCTCAAATAAATCAAAGAGATAATTTCCTTAAAAATACAACTTTAATTAAAATATAGGGATAGCAAGTCTTATGAAAGTCGAAATATTAAAATTTAAAATTTTGTTTTGGCTCATATAATTAGAATTTCCCACCAAAACGTTAAACAAAAATTCAGGATTATATGTTTGAATAATATCTGCCATCACCTAAAATTTCAAATCAATCCATTAAACATTCGCAAAGAAAAAAATTATTTACTAAAAAATATCATTTCGAAGGTTATGGACGACAGGAAGGGTATCGGGCATTGAAAATTTGGGAAACTAAGTTTTCTTTAATAACAAAAAAGTGCGCCAAGCTTCAGCCAAATCCGTTGTGAGGAGGATTTCGACTCTTCTTATTAGGTTAAAGTCTTTATATATTTACAATTTTTATATAGATATTTAAATTACGATTACGATAATTTACTTGATTGATCTACCTGATTGATGGAGAAATCATAGGAGTTCCTCGGCTAACTGGAAATTCGACTGATGGGTATAGACTGGCAATTTGTAGCTGTAAACCGCAATTGTAGATCTTCCCAATTCCTTGTAAAGTTATATCAATATTTTTATTGGTCTGTTGAGTCATTACAATATTCGTTACATTTGGATGTAAGGAGCCTGTCAAAACATGCTGCAAAACATTGTCTGGTGCGATTTCAATAACCACAGCGTTGCTTGGAATTAGATCCGTAGTTTGTTGAAATAGAACAGTGTTTAATAAACTTCGAGTGTGATAGTCTGCCGATGATAACTTTGCTGTTGAAGTGGACCATTTGGTGCGAGGTATAGAAGTACTGATCCACTTTGAACTCCGTTTTTTTGGCTGTGGTATTATTTTATTCAAATTGAGCAGAAGCTGAGTTTCCGCTGGTGCGAGATAAGAACTGTGATATGGTACATTGCAGTAGATCTCCTTCACGTAAACATTATTGACCTGATTATATAAAAATACAACATATGCAGCTGTAGCAGATTGTGGCTTGAATATTTTAATTTTAAAAACTATCAATTAATTTTTCTATTTCCTTATGAAGTATAAAAACTGTTTTTAATTCTACCTTTAATTTTTTCGTAAATTCTTGTACGAGTTCTGGTGGTCCACACACGACGCTGCTGGTTTTACTGTTGTGGCATACAATTTCAATATTCAATGGACATATATTTTTAAGATGCTCGTAACTTAAATTGACAACCGCCATTGAGCTATGAATTATTTTTTCTTTGGCACACGTTATACCAACAAAGTATGCTGATAAAATAGTTTGTTCTATGGTGAGACATTCATCTGCGTATGCACATCCAAGTTCACCGCCTGAATGACCAATCATATAATCGGGAGTAATTCCTAAGGATCTTAAGAGATCTACTAACCCAATCTACAAGTATATATGAATAATTTTAAATATACAGTTGGATATACTTAAAAAATCCGTTACTGATATAATAATAAAATATGCTTCAATCGATTTAATAGACAATCTGTTTCTCTAATGCTGTATAATTTATAAAAATGTATATTTATAGTATGTGTTTTACTGATAAATATATTATGATATATACTTATGTTGTAACTATGAAAAGTGGTAATTTTTTTACCTGAATAGCGACGATTCCAATAGAAACATTTAATGTGTTTTCGCATATTGATTTTTCCGCTTTTGTCAAAATATCTGTGACACTTATATCATACGGTTTTAAAATATCATCACATTTTCTTATGGTTTTTGCAAAAGCATGAAACTTTAATAAGTTTCGACCTAATAACATTTTAATATATAAGTTACATCATTTTGTTATTTAAGTTAGTACATATCCCAGGTAGCACACGTATATTTTACGAGGGTAGTTCTAAAAGTTCTCGGCCTGACAAAGAAAACATACGATTTATGGCAAAAATTTTTTTATTTTTTAACATAATTCCCTTATAAATCAATATACTTAGATCAACGATATCCAACTTCTTTAGACCTTCAGTATAATACAATTTTTCTAACTCTTTAAAATAAGCGTTTGTCTCAGTGATGACCTTCGTATTTGAAGTGTATCTTTTTCCAGCGAGCCATAGACATAATTCCCTTATAAATCAATATACTTAGATCAACGATATCCAACTTCTTCAGACCTTCAGTATAATACAATTTTTCTAACTCTTCAAAATAAGCGTTTGTCTCAGTGATGACCTTCGTATTTGAAGTGTATCTTTTTCCAGCGAGCCATTTCTTCAGATTCGGGAACAGGAAAAAATCACTGGGGGCTAAATCTGGTGAGTACAGTGCGTGTGGTAGCAATTCGAAGCATAACTCAAGAAGTTTTGCGACTGCAATTGCAGAAGTGTGAGAAACCAATTTTCGAGAAATACCAAAAAACTTGTTTGCTTTACTCGACGTAACAGACAAACTACTAATCGCATCTATGTGAAACTTTTTCGGAGGCCCTCTGAAGGATCAAACTTAAGAAAAATCATAGCCATTTGATACTCCCGGTGCCATCTCTATGTCAGGCCGAGAACTTTTAGAACTACCCTCGTATATACGTTTCTTAAACGTATCCAATGTTTTATAACCGTTAAGCATCAATAAGAAACGTTTCATCGCAAACGTTTTTAAAATTATAATTGAAAAAACGTATTTTTCACGTATTTTTCAGAATTTTTTCAGATTTTTTAATATTTTTTCAGTTTTTTTAATATTTTTGTATGTTGATAAAAATAAGAAAATGCAATACTAAAAAGTTGATAAAAATTCTGAAAAAATTCTTGAAGTTCTATGAAAAGAAAATAAACAATTTTTTCTCTTGCAGTTTTTCTGTAAAATAATTGATAGTATTTGAGTAAAAAATTATTATTCCAATATCAAAAATTTGACAATTTTTAGTAATTAAATCTCGTTAACTATTGCGAAAATTGTGAAATAATAGAGCACTTTTCGACTCAGTTTAGTCCGCTCTACCTTGCTACGATATTCTAATGCGCTAATTTCCGAACAACCTGTATAGAGATTATATATATTCTGTCGTTGTTAGGTGAGTTATCAGACACCCTGTGTATATATATATATACAGGGTGGACCATCTGAAGTGATCCAGTCAAATATCTCGAAAACTAGTAGGGATAGAGAAAAATGTTTCGTATGAAAAGTTTAGGGTTACACG